CTTAAAATCAGAAAACTCTAGGATTGCTAATGACTAAATCCTAGCACTGAAGCTTACTGGAAATAAGTGTTGCATTTGTATCTTTTTAGCATGTGAACTAGTCTAGTGACTTCTTGTTAAGTGACAGGGTTATTTTTGTCATCCTAACCTTTGGGACAAAAGAACATGGTTGCTAGAAATTTGCTAATGATAGCAACAAATAAAGTTTATGCTGCATTAATTGTCCATGACAATAAAAGTTACATGAGTAAACGGCTTATAAATCTCCTTTTAAGATAGGCGGAGTTGCTTCGTGAAGTACAAGTTAGGAACATTGTGTGACTTGGTGGTTTACTACTTTGTCGTATCTTAGTTTTGTTTGTAGAGCAACAGTGCGGAAACTCCTGCCTCCTAATGGAGCTGTGTAAATGTGTGTTGTTGAGGAACTGCTCTTTTTTTATACAAACTTCCGTACAATGTCCTCCCTAAAGACTGGCTGTAATAAAGGCAGGTCAGAGACTGGGCTGCCATCTACAAAGATTTCAATGATGTGTGAGACATAGTGCCTCTTTGGCCTAGTCTTCACTAGTTTAAAAAAAAGTTTTTGTTTGTTTGTTTGCTCTGGGTCACTGCAGGGAAATAAACGCGTGAGGCTAGCCTGAGGTAAAAACACAGTGAAGACAAGGCAGATCCACCCAGATCCACCCAGGCCATGTCTACACCAGTGGTGGGCCACGTGCTATTCACGGTGGGTTTTGTCTATGGCCTACAAGATGTTTTGTTTACTGCTGCCCCCGGGGAGGGTTACCATTTTTAGTGAATTTCATTTTTGTTGGTTGATTTCAGACCGATTCCCCAGTTTGTCCTTTTGATTTCTAGTCCTGTCCTCACAAGCACACACTATCATTCCTGGCTTGATGCCCTCTGAAACTGTCCTGTTGAAGCTGTCTCCGGGGATGTAAATAGAGTCTCAGGAGCTAGGGGACTGGACTTGCAGCTCTCGCCTCCCATAGATGCCGTGGATTAATCCATAGCGAGGTGTAAGTTTCAGAATGTGTTACCCTCTTCCAGTACTGCAGTACTGCTCAGATATAAGTATCTGTCATGTTGATGTCCTGCCAAATTCTCCTCAGTCTGTGGGGTTACACTGTAAAACTGAGAGGAGAATGCAACCCCTAATAACCAGGTTAATTCAAAAGCTTCAGAGGGGTAGCCGAATTGGTCTGTAACTGGAAAAACTTAAAAATCAACAAATAGTCTAGCAGCACCTTAAAGACTAACAGAACATGTACATGGTATCATGAGCTTTCGTGGGCACAACCACTAGTTGTGCCCACGAAAGCTCAAGACACCATCTGCATGTTTTGTTAGTCTTTAAGGTGCTGCTAGACTATTTGTTGATTTTTAAGTTTTTCCAGATTAATTCAGATACCACATAGTTGTGACACTGAGAGAAGATTTTGCAGAGAAGCCGAGATTGAGCATTTTAGCTTCTATATTAACACATCTGTGTTGGGACCACTTCCCTTAAATGAGGGCCACTTCATGCTGATTTATTGTTAATGACATTTATGGCAGTGCTGGTAGGCATGTTAGCTCGACCTGCACTCTAGAACTTGATTTCAGGCTGATGTGTGGTTTCGGAAGGGAAGTGTTTTCTAGAGGAGTATGTTCCTAGTTGATCTTGCCACACACAAATGTTCTGAATATATATATGTTCTGATAGTGTATGAATAACCTTTTGAAAGACGTTTTTCAGAGATTCTATATTAAATTTGATAGCGTCTTTGATTTATTTTGCACATGTATGTATTTTGCTCTAAAATATTTTATACCGTTTGGCTTCCATAATGTTAAAATAACAGAGGCCTTTTTGGACGCATCATTTATTAAAGACATAACTTCTGTTTCTGGCCAGTGTAAGGTCTGATTCAAGCAAAACCAACTTAAATGGAAATTTCATGTGTGGAATTTTTGCCAGTTCAGACCTTCATTTTGTATCCAGAATATGAATATTTTGTTCGTTGTTGGAAGGAAAGTACACGGTTTACCCTGTGAATCCAGAAATCTGTGCCCTAACATATCTCTGGTGTTCAAAGACAGCCTGGAGGAACTGGGCCAACTTTCTTATTTCTGTTAAGCTCTTTTTTCTTATATGAACAACTAATGGAAAATCAAGGCTGTACAACAGAGGCTGATTAGAGCTGCCATAACAAAGACTCCACAAAGTATCAAGCTGTTCTGTACACTAAGCATTTGACTGTGAATCAGAAACTCATGAAGTTTTAGTCCTGGCTCTGACACTGGTTTATTCTGTAGTTTTGAGCAAGTCACTTAGCCTCTCCCTCAGTTCCCCATCTGTAGAATGAGGCTAGAAGGCCCCTTTGTGGACCTTCTAGGGATGGGTGTGGTCTCTGAAATAATAACATAGGCTTGGTGTGAAGATTATTTGGGTTTATAGCTACACACACAAGCTCTGTAAGTACACGAGGGATTTGAGAGGCAATGAGATATGTCAAGTGATGCTACCAATGAAAGCTAGACCCCAACTGAGCCATCTTTGATGAACCAGATATTTCCATTTGCTCTTGTCAAAATCTGTGTTGCTCTAAAGAAACAGCAGCAGTAGGAATTAGCTAGAGTAAGACCATGGGTTTTGGAGGGATACCCCTGACTTACACCAGTGTAAATGGTGTCTGAATTGGACCCTGTGAATATTTGGGTCTTATTGTGGACCACTCTGGATTATGCAGAGACCTTTGCATTAATGTCTGATAGAGCATTTAAACTGGGGTCCTCACGCTCTCTTAGCATTTACCTTAATAGAAAGATTATCTTGGTCCATCTCCCCTCCCGTTGATGGCCCTATTGCCCATCATCTCCCTCCCACATGCACTTGCTTGTTTGTGTCTACTGAATTTTCTGTAAATGAACCTTGGGGCTGCTTTTTTTGGGGGAGAGAGAGGAGTGGTCTGGTTGGAATTCCAGGAATGTCACAGGCGTCTGAGGAAAGTGAAGCCGCAGCCATGCGAAGCACTAAGCATATGCTTAACTTTGAGTGCTGTAAGTTCCATTGAAGACAGTGGAGTTCCTTGCGTGCTTAACGCCGTAAGCCTGGGCCTGACTTTTTGTTAGGAAAGCTGTGTAAGGCATGTGGCGTTTCTGTTGTGTTTCAGTGAACGAAGCCTCTCTAACATGGCCATGTACATAAAGTTACCCCGCTGATCATGATCATACGCAGCGGAATATTTCCTTACTATGAGCACAAGGTGCCCCAGGGTGGCTGGGCTTTTTGGTTACAGACCCCATCCTCTTTCAGATTTGTCACATAATATAGTTCTCCTTTGAAGTGCAAATTGCAAAATGTGGGCTGAGAGATGTGTACGTTTCTAGCACCTTGTGATTAATCGGTGGCTACATGTGGTTTCCTTTTCTCCTTTAACCAGTTGTTGGATTCAAGGGTCCTAACCAGCTTATGGGATGCCAAATGACATCTGTGGGCGTGGTGTGCAAAACTGGCTCTAGAATATGGCCTCTCTACTCATTTATTTTTCCAGCAGAATAAACTTGGACTATCCCTGTGCTCCAGAGACATTGCCAACACTCAGGTTGTCAACCTGCAATGCGACGATTCCCAAGAAGAACCCTGTTCTAATGCAATATCTTTCCATTAGGTCGGCTGTCATAAATCTACGGCTCTCTACAGATTTGGATCCAGAAATGTAGCATTTTTCCTTTGCCATTGGTAGCTGCTTGGGGGCAGATATATCTGTTATGCAGTCTTTCGGAGGGTCAGTGATAAGATGACCTTGGTTAAGCTAGAAAATCTGAACCAATCACCATGTTAGATTGCCTTGTTATAGGATGATCTGCATTTTTCACTAGCGGGGATGGGGAGGGGGCAGCAAGATAAACTGGAAAAACCAGCAGTTGTGTATCTGCTCCCTTCATTTATTGCACTGATAGTGTCCTGCCCTTGTTTCAGGCACTGGTTTACTACACAGAATGGGTTATACACAAAAAGGTTCATTGAACTGTCCAGGTTCTAGTATCTTGTGTCCAGTTGGCTTCTCCGGCCAGACAGTAGCATCAGCCTATGGGACTTCCTGCAGATTTTTTTAATGTGGAAGAAACAAATACTTGGATTTGAATCCTACACAGTGATAGGAAACCATCACCACTGGCCCTGCACGAACAAGTGCCAGAGCTAATTTTTGTATGTTGGAAGGCCGTAACCAAGCCCAATCTTGTGATCCCTCTGCTCCTAAAAATCCTATTGAAGCTCATGATAAGGAAAGCAAGATCAGCCCCAGATTATTATCCCTTGCATTCTGGGAGAGCTCAGAGGCCCGATTGTTCATACATATAGTAAGAGACTTCCAAGACTAAGATCGTGTAGACAAGACAGATAAAGGAATAAGTGCTACTGTTTCATGGAAGGAACGACAGCACAGAGATTAAGTGACTTTCTCAGAGTCAAATTGGAAGTCTGTAGCAGAGTTGGGAAATGAGCCCCAAATCTCCTAAATGCCCAATCAAGGGCATTAACCACAGGACCCTCAAATTTCTGCCCTGCATTAATGCCCACTTGTTAATGGGACAGTCGAGTTATGTTGCCAGGAATGAGCCTTCCCTAATCAGTCTTATGCTTTATTAGCAGCATAAATGCCAGCATGACTCTCTCATTGCTACAACATGTTAAACACCTTGGAAATGTTTCCTTAAACTCTAGGTCAGTCTTATGAAATCCGTCTACTTGAGAATAGGAAATTGGGAGAGTTTCAAGATTTAAACACAAAATATGTAAAGGTAAGGAGAAATATAGATTTCTTTTCTTCCTGCTACTACATACAGACACAAATCAAGGCCCTGACCTTGCTTTTCATGGAGGACAATGGGAGAGACTTTGCCATTGACTTTAATGGGAGCAGGACTGAGGGTCTAATTCTTGAGTTGGTTAGAGCTGCATGTGACTCTGCAGTTTGGCTTTGCAGGGTTTCATCTAAACCGTTGGCTTTGGGTACAGTCGTGCCCTCCGAGTTTCACTCTGAGTTTTGGGTTCTGATGAATCCCAAAATTCAAAGCTAAACTGGGCTGAAACCACCAAGCATCACTTCCTCTACTGGTTTAACCCATGCAAAGCTATAAACCAACCCCGGGTGCAGCGTACCTGGGCTCAGCTACATGTTCATAAGGAGGACTCAGCTTTTCTCGTAGCTTTGTCACACAGGTTTTACACAGCTCACGTCTACGTTAGTAGTGCACCCACCCCCAAGATACAGAACCACCTCCTGAGTTCTGGGTGGTTTCACTTTGGGGTTTGGATTTGACAAATTCAGAGATTTTGCAAAATTTGGATCCAGATCTTGGTTCTAGTATCAGGCCCTCCTTGCCCAAATTCTTGTGGTTCCGACCCAGGGATTTTCATTAGCAAGCGGGGGGGCTACTTGCAAAATGTGAATCCAGATCTGGATTTAGACCATCTCCAAAGCTGAAGCATATTTGCATTCCATGTTTTTATTCAGTCCACTCCAGGAAGGTTTTCCCCAAATGTGACTCTGGGTTCAGATTTGCACACAGGCTCTCTTGCTAGGAGAGCAAGCAAGTGCTTGGATCTAGGTTTTGGTTGGGGCCTTTCTTTAACTTACACGCACAATTAATCTCTCACTTCCATTCTGAATGGATGGCGACAACAAGACAGTGGACTTCCTTTGGAAACTGGGAGGCGGGGGATAGTTAGCTCGTGGTAGTGCTGCACTTTGCATATGCAAAGCAAGACATGAGTGCAGAGTCTTTTTGGCTTTGCCTGCGTTGGGCATTTTCCCTGATTCCGGTCATTAGGTCTCTGGTTGTTGATGTAGCTGCACCAGTCAACACACACACACAGTGAAAAGGGGGCAGGCTCTGGTGGTGGACATGGAGGTATTCCTAGTCCGCACCGGAAGAGGTGCACTGGAGCAAATCCTACATCAACGGCTTGGATGCCGATTGCTGGAATCGAGGCAAATTCCCACGGACAAGGCCTCGGACGAGCAAAGAGAGCACTGCCTTGATGAACCATCTCTCCATGGAATTTGACCTAACTGGAGATGGGTGGTTTGGAGGGGGACGCTCTGCTCTCCTCTGCGATGGACGTTAGACACGTGGAGGAGGAACAGATCAGACCCATCTCTGACACTGAGAAACCGAAATCATCTCAGGAATAAAAGGTGAGCCTGAAGCCCAACTCACCTTGCCCTCCTCTCTTAACAGAGCATCATACGCGTGGTTTTCCATGACCGGCGTCTGCAGTACACAGAGCACCAGCAGTTGGAGGGCTGGAGGTGGAGTCGGCCTGGAGATCGCATCCTTGATATAGGTGAGACTATTTCATTATGGTTCCTATAAAGGGTTTGGAAGTTGGCTGTGAACTGTGTGAGGTATTTTTCAGGATTTTCTTTCTTAGCAAAAATGGTAACCGTGCGTGTCTGTGCAAGGAGGGGTGAAAGAAACCACAGCTGCATTGGTTTTAATTGAATATATCACTGGCTGCCTTGGCTTGTCAAATGAGTCTGGTAACTGTATGAACACTTGGTTTGTTGTCTTCAATTTAATATTTTTAAAATTTTAGGGGTTTTCTTCTACAGATATCCCACTGTCCGTTGGCATCTTAGATCCCAGGGCCAGCCCGACCCAACTAAACACTGTTGAATTTCTGTGGGATCCATCCAAAAGAGCATCTGCGTTCATTCAGGTAAGGAACAAATGTTTTCAAGAGCCTGGGTATTTTCGTTAGTACATGTCTTTCCTGTTCCTCAGATATTTTTTCACTCATCATACCATGCACTCAAATTGATGAGTGTTTGCATTGTTTATAGGATACACGCATGGGCCAATTTTGTATTGGGAGCGGGGCTGCCTCTTCTATTCTTAACTCCTAACACAGGCTTTGTTGCAGATAGACTGATCTGTATGTCTCTTTAGAGATCTACTCTGCCCTTAAAGATGGGTTTCATTTATGGGGGGAAAAGACCACAAACTCATTTTCTAAATTCCCCAAATGGCTCTCAATGTGTTCAAAATCTCAGACTTCCTGGGGCTTTCTCATCCTTTATATCAAAAGATTTATTTTTTAAAATCTTTATGTATGCGATGCAATGTCAAAGCTTGATAGGATAACGAGTCTTGTGGATAAGGGAGAAACGGTGGATGTCATATACCTAGACTTTAGTAAGGCATTTGATACGGTCTCGCATGATATTCTTATTGATAAACTAGGCAAATATAACTTAGATAGAGCCACGATAAGGTGGGTGCATAATTGGCTGGATAACCGTAGTCAGAGAGTTGTTGTTAACGGTGCTAAATCCTGCTGGAAAAGGATAACAAATGGAGTTCCGCAAGGGTCTGTTTTGGGACCCATACTGTTCAATATCTTCATCAATGATGTAGATATTGGGATAGAGAGTACGCTTATTAAGTTTGCAGATGATACCAAACTGGGTGGGGTTGCAACTTCTTTGGAGGATAGGGACATAATTCAAAACAAGTTAGAGAAATGGTCAGAGGTAAACAGGATGAAGTTTAATAAAGAGAAATGTAAAGTGCTCCACTTAGGAAGGAACAATCAGTTCCATACATACAAGATGGGAAGCGACTGTCTAGGAAGGAGCATGGCGGAAAGGGATCTAGGGGTCATAGTGGACCACAAGTTGAATATGAGTCAACAGTGTGATGCTGTTGCAAAAAAAGCAAATATGATTCTAGGTTGTATCAACAGGTGTGTTGTAAGCAAAACTCGTGAAGTCATTCTGACGCTCTACTCTGCACTAGTTAGGCCTCAGCTGGAGTACTGTGTCCAGTTCTGGGCGCCACATTTCAAGAAAGATGTGGAGAAATTGGAAAGGGGACAGAGAAGAGCGACAAGGATGATTAAAGGTTTAGAGAACATGACCTATGAAGCCAGGCTTCATGAACTGGGCTTGTTTAGTTTGGAAAAAAGAAGATTAAGGGGGGACATGATAGCGGTTTTCAAATATCTAAAAGGGTGTCACAAGGAGGAAGGAGAAAATTTGTTCCTCTTGGTTTCTGAGGACAGGACAAGGAGTAATGGGCTTAAAGTGCAGCAAGGGAGGTTTAGATTGGACATTAGGAAAAAATTCCTAACTGTCAGGGTGGTCAAATATTGGAATAAATTGTCAAGGGAGGTGGTGGAATCTCCCTTTCTGGAGATATTTAAGAACAGGTTAGATAGACATCTGTCAGGGATGGTGTAGACGGATCTTGGTCCTGCCTTGAGGGTGGGGGGCTGGACTCGATGACCTCTCGAGGTCCCTTCCAGTCCTATGATTCTATGATTTCTATATATTCAGTTTTTCTCCCAGCTACTTGTCCCGTCATTTTTCTGAACTCTCCTTATTTTGTTATGAACCCTTTTTATTTTCCCCCCACAAAATAGAGATGGGCCAGAAGTAAACTTGAACCCCACCCCAATCATATCTGTCTCTGAACTTGGGGGGCTTGAAAGTCAGCTGTTTTGCAGCATTGAGCCATCGCTGGTTATAAAGTACAGTTTCTATTTTGCCAGGTACATTGCATCAGCACAGAATTTACACCCAGGAAACATGGTGGAGAGAAAGGGGTGCCCTTCAGGATACAAATCGACACTTTTAAACAGAATGAGAATGGGGAATATACCGAACACTTGCATTCTGCAAGCTGTCAGATCAAAGTGTTCAAGGTATGGGCTAGTTCGGTTTTGCCAAATCCTCTCCAGAGTATGAGACATGGGGAATATTTATCTAGCTTTGGGTAAGGTTTTAAAAATGTTTGCATTCGTAGCAAATAAGTGAAGGTATTAAACAAGCGGCACTGGTACTCCTATCCATTATGGAAAAGGCACCACATCCTAGTATGTCTATAACAGCAGAGATCTCAAAGTGCACTGCACTAAGTGGACTGGCTTCATGCATATAGACGCTGATCAACCCAGCTCTCACTTCTTTCTCTTATCTGGATTTTTAAACCACCTGCTCTGCTTAGTGGCACGAACAGCTCCTTAGGAAGGCACTAAGACACAGACTAGAGCTCTCATATCAGAGTCTCTTCCATTGCCAAAGATACTGTCCACTGAGACACAAACGGAAAGAGAGCGCCCAAGAGATGATGTGAATATTCTACCTGTTACATTCCAGGCCCTTCTGTGTCTCCCTGTTAAAGCCTCTCAGAGGGGTAGCCGTGTTAGTCTGTAACTTTAAGGAAACGAGTAGTCCTGTGGCACCTTAGAGACTAACAGAAAAATATATATAGTAACAGAATAATATATATAGCTTTCGTGGGCAAAACCCACTTCCTTTCATTAGTCTCTAGGGCTGTGTCCACACTCAGGGTTTTTTTCGGGAAAAGTAGCCTTTTCCCGAAAAAACTTCCCCTGCATCCAGACTCAAGCCGCGTTCTTTCGAAATTATTTCAAAAGAACGCGGCTTTTCTTTCGATGGCGGTAAACCTCGTTTCACGAGGAAGAACGCCTTCTTTCGAAAGTTCCTCTTTCGAAAGAAGGCGTTCTTCAATGTAAATAGGGCTTCCTCGAAAGAGAGCATCCAGACTCGCTGGGTGCTCTCTTTCGAAAAAGCGGATTGCTCTTTCGAAAGATCCGCCTGCAGTCTAGACGCGATCTTTCGAAAGAGGCTCTTTCGAAAGATGCTTTCGAAAGAGCCTCTTTCGAAAGAAGCCTGCAGTCTAGACATAGCCTAGGATGCTACAGGACCACACATTGACTCCCTGTTAAGATACTAAAGTCAGTATTTGCTCAATTGCTCTGTATATATCCAGGGCATTTCCCCTGACTTCCATGACGTACTCTGGATTACACCCATAGAGCTAAGAGCAGAATATGGCTCCTTTTTTAGCTTAGTTGTGAGTTGGCTCTTCCTGAGTAGCAGAGGAGCATAACTACTCTCAGGACTGCTGTCTGATAAGCACTTCAGAAGGGCCTTAAATGTTGCTAGTAGTTCCCCTCCATATGCCACACAATTGTTCTCCGCCTGTTCGCATTTGGTACTTTTTGGCCAGGCTGGAATGAGCAGGTACTGTCATCCGTTTTGGATGAAAGTGGTGAACCAGCTTTCAGTTAGATCTGAATCTAAACTTCCCCATGGATTGGGGTGGGGAGAGAGGGAATGGATTTGGAGATTCACTCTGACCCCTTTTCAGTTTTCATAACATCCGCCCTTCCTGGAGACATAACACTCCCAGGTGCTCGTTAAAGTGTGTCCCTCCATCGTAGATTCAGGGTCTAAAATAGTATCAAATCCTAAGGGTTCCACTGTAAAAACATATGTAACCCACACCCCGTCTGGTGTCCCATCTAGTGGCACTGAGACCACGTACAGAGAGAATGAGTCTGCTCTACAGCCTTAGCTAAGAGTCAGCTGACTTTTAGTTCATGCTGCTTAGTTCCTAATCTCCAGAGGTCCCAGGTTTGATTCTGCCCACAGATGACCGGGCTCTGCCAGAAATACACATACACATGGTAGCACTCAACACGTTTTGGAAATGCTACAGTCATGGCAATATTAACAAAGGATGTTCTAGATACAGTAGGGATTTTTATAGGAACTGCTGCTTGGAAAATAGAGGCCTTGTCCTGCCCTTGTTTCATGTGTAGACTGCCCATTGATGTCAATGAGGCCTTTGTGCACAGATCAGATGAAACCTATGGCCCCCTGCTCCCCACCCTGTGAAGCGAGGCATAAGGGAAAGCTTGTGCTCTGTGCTTATAGCCCAAGGGAGCTGACCGAAAGCAGAAAACTGACAGGGAGAAAATGGAGAAGAAGACTGCCCAAGAGAAGGAAAAATACCAGCCTTCCTATGACACGACCATTCTCACAGAGGTAAGATGCTTCCGTCACTGGTTTAATATGTCGGGCCTCACACTTAACGTGGTAAAAGGAGTTCCTTCTGCATAGGGTCAGATTAATTTGCGGGGCTCCACTCCACAAGGTCTCACTGAGACGGAGAGATTAATGACTGTATAAAAGGGATTAGATCTTTCATAAAAAGCTACATTAGGCGGAACTAAATTTTATTGGACCCTTATGCTTCAGGGCATAAACTAGGCATTAGTTGGGTTAAGATGCAATTGTCTTTCACTCCCCTCCCGCCATGAGCTGTCCTCTCCAAACAACTGTCCCACAAAGGCGGCTTACACTCTCCTCTGAACCATCTGGTACTGGCTGGAGTCGAAGACAGGATGCTGGAATAGATGGTCGGATCCAGTTGGCAGTTTCCGTTCCTTCAGGCATATCCTTTAGAACAAGCCATTGTCATGAGCTTGGTTCTTGCGAGCGTCACTCTACAATGGGCTCATGTTTGAAGAATGTGTTGTGTGTTGTGTGGTGTCATGGCGTGTGGGGCAGCCCCACCCACAGCCAGATGGGACTCTCAGCCAGCAGGTAGACCGGTAGCACAGACTTGTCAGCACACTCCATCTTGGGGATAGGGAGGCCCAGAACCAGGGCTGTGGGCCCCCTTTCTGCCCCCCTAAGCCGGCTTGACTTCCTGCATCCTAAGCCAGCAGAGACTACCTCAGCAACCAGCCCCAGCCCTGTTACCTGATTGCATCTGCTACCCAGGCTCAGGTTACAAGAGGTTCTGAGCCATTGTGTACGTGCTGGGCTGGGCAGCCTGGGGCAGCCTCACTCAGTGGGAGTCACACCCAAAACTCCCAACCCCAGCCAGGCACCAGTGCAGTGCCTAGGGAAACTGAGGCAGCACTCACACACACACACTTACAACAAAGCAGAGCAGCCAACCTAACAAGCGAACTGAGCAAACTCAATCCCCACTACATCACACATGGGTCATATGAGGTCTACTTTTTCTTTTTAGTATCCCGATTACACGGTGCACTATCACGTCTGCAGCCCAATATGGGTTATGCACAAGCACCAGCCAAGGGCACATCTGTAATTGGTTAGGAGCCAGCCCCCACCTCCCTTATGGGAATGTTCTGCAGAACTTCCGAGAACTGCTTTTCATGGGAAGATCGAATTTTTGATTTAAACAGTGACTCACTGGAACACATTAAGATGATTTCATTTTCTTTTGCTTGTTTTAAATAAGTTCTTTCCCTTGCCCAAGAGAATGGTTTTTGGTTTAAAGGTACATGGAATAATCAGACACCCTATAATTTAGGAGCATTTGCTAGCAAGTCCCTGTTGTGCAGAGACATAATCCTACAGTATGGGCCGACGCAGAGCTCTTTATCACACTGAATCAGGAAATCCTCTAGCCTTGGTTGCCAAAGAGTTAAATATTTGCTTAAAGCGATATTTGTGTTGGTGATAACACTCCAAGAATGCCACAGATTGTCTCCTTCTTTATCACTTTAAAGACAGGGACAATGAACCCAATTTTCATGGGCTCTTAACAGGCTGACTGCAGGGCCGGATTCTGTTGTTCTGGATTTCCGTCTCTGTGACCAGCTTCAGTAAAGCTACTTTGTATTTATACCAGTGCAACTGAGCATGGAATCCAGCTTATATCTGCAGCATTTTTGGGTAGCCTTATGTGTGTCTACCTTAGGATTTCCTATAGATTCTATTCATAACTTGAATTTTTGCTGATAACTTTGAATGGACCAGGCCATATTCTGCCCTCACGCTGGTATAACCCTGAGGTAACTCAACTGCTATGCCTTTGGTTCATGTAATCAAATCATTCCAATCTGCGGTTACTTTGGATTTATAATTGAGACCAGAATCTGGCACCTGGGAAATTTCTGTGTTGTGGGCCAAATCCCGCCTGAAAGAAGAATTGGTGTATTGCCCAGATGTAAGCAGGCACACCCTTGAGCTCAGTGTTAGTTTGGGAAAGGGAAAGGAAGACGTGGCAAAAGCACAATTAGAACTAATCTTGTACCACCTCCGTCCTCTTGGAATGCCAGCATACAGCTCCCGGGCCTTCTTCTCCCCTCAGCAGGGGTAATTCGCTGACCTCACTGGAGTTGACAGCACCATACATGGTGCGAGGAAAGAATTGGACCTGCTTGAAAACCTGCTTTGCTCAGTGTCCCATTGGCTTCGTTTTCACAGTGTTCTCCGTGGCCAGATTTGCCTTATCAAGTGAACAATGCTCCGTCCCCAAGCTACAACAGCTCTCCAACCAGCTTCAGCCTTGGAGATGGGTATGTAATAAATGCTTTCTCTTCTCGGCTGACTTGTAGCTCATGTGCTGGCGTTGGCTGGATCCTAGGGGCCTACTCCTGGGTTAGTAAAATGTTTTGTGCTCCGCCCACATCGCTAAGTTGAACCTTCTCAGCGTGCATGCATTGAGGATAGAGACTTGCCCACCAGAAAAGTTTGAGCTCTGAGCTCGGTGTGCTAAGCCCATTTTTCCCTATGGGGGAGATGTGAAAGTACGCTCAAAGTTGCCGTGATCAAAAGTTGTTTTGGTTCAGGTCAGCGTTTAAGGGGTCTGATCATTCCATCCCGGACGGAAGGTCCGCTTTATTCGATAAATGTGACATAAAAGAGTAAACATAATGGCTGTCTGCAACCTGCTGAATATTCATTTCATGGAAGTTGGACTGTTACATCTGGTCAACTTTCTCTTCCTTCCCTGGCCTGTTTCCTTGGTACACATTCCTCCCAGGAAGTTAGTGCAAGTTCTTTGGGAGAGGGCTTAAAAGGCAATAACTGCTTTCCAGCTCTGTCCCTGTGCGTGAAAAGCAATAACAAAGTTGGGAGCTGAGCTGCAGAATTTTACTGAAACGGAGTTAAAAAATAACAGGTCTAATCAGAACAAAAAAAAAGTCAACTTGATATAAAATTCTTGCCAGTCAAAACAAGGGGAGGGTGGTGAGAGAGAGCCAACCATTTTCAATGTCAGTGTTAACGTAACGTTTTTTTCTCTTCCTGCTTCATACGATCTTTTAGCAACAGTTCTCCAACCCACCAAGTGGAACTCCTACCTCCCAGCAACGATGTAAGTATGTGAGATCATGTTAATGAGGTGCTTTTCTTTTTTTAGGACACTGCTGAACAGTTCATTTCAAGACCCTCTTATTCTTTTTGCAATGTAGCACCTCCTGCCCTCTGCTTCTATCCAAGATGTTCAGCAGTGGCTTCATCGCAATAGGTTTTCTCCATTCTGTAGACTCTTCTCAAGTTTCTCGGGTGAGTCGAGTGGGTCCGTGTGTTTGTTTGTGTGTCTGTGACAAGTGTGGAGCGTACTTTGGTGGTGTCTGCCAAATAAAATGGTGAGCAGGGGTTTGGAGAAACCTCATAAAGATCGGTCAAGATTTCCAAAAGTGGATGCTTAATGTTCGGTTCCTATGGCACCTATATAGTCTCTCAGTTGGAGCTGCATAGCTCCACAATTCAGTACTTTTGTGTGAATTGGGCCACCTGATTTCAGTGCCAAAATAAGGGCTTTGAAGCCTGATTTTTGGGGAGCCCAGTTTTAAACCTTTGGTCACTTGAAATTCTGCTTTGGTGTAGGAAATGTGGGTGGGTTGTTCCAATATTGGGGCAAACTCTACTCATGTGTTAGAGGAAGGAGCCGATGATGAATATTGTATCCTACATCCTAGAAGGTCCCAACTTTATAGCTTGTGAAGACTGAGTTTACTGGACACCTCAAGGGGCTCCTGGAATCCCCCCTGTACGCCTGCTCCCAAGCTCCCTGTGTGGCAGCCTCCCAGCTCCCCTCCCCCCCAGGGACTCTGCAACTTCTTTCCTCATCTCCCTCCCCCTGCAGGGATTCAGCGTACCTCCCATTTTCCCTCTCTCATGACAGGGTCCGTCCCCCAGTGTTCCCGTTCCCATGCTAGCAGCTCTGTGCACCTCTCTTCTAATCTTCCCTCCCTCATTCCAGGCTCTGTCTGCCTTCCATGCCAATCGTCTGTTCTGCCCCCCGGCCCCTCCAGGCCAGGGCCTGTGCACACACCCCTCTTCTGCCCTTCTCCTCTCCATCACTAATCTATAGATAAACACACTGTTTGTCAGGGTGTCAATAAGTTAAACTCCATTAGGAGTATGGGTGCCAGCTCTGTGGGTGCTCCAGCTTCTCCCAACCCCCCATGCCCAGTGCTTCCCATCTCCCAATGGGCCCCGCCAGTCAGTCTGAGGGGAAGGTGAGGGGAAGTGGGGAGGAGCAAGGATGCAACATGCTCAGAGGAGGGGGCAGAACAGGCTGGTAAGGTGGAGGGGGAGGGGGAAGAGTCCTCTCTGTCACATTGGAAAGTCTGTGCCTGTGGTTAGGAGGCTGAGGCGCGATCGGGTATTGTTATGCCGCATGGTATTAATGGGTGCCATCAACCAGATGTTGATTTAGAGACAATTGTAGAGGGGCTTGGAGTTGTGACTGTGCTAATCAAAAGGCAGGGCTCCATATGTCCCCCATTTCGCCCCAGATCAATAAGGGGAATCCAATACCCATTGGATCTTTCTCCAGTGGGACAAGATAGGTGAGGTGTAACCTCTCTTACCAGACCAATTTCAGTCGGTGAGAGAGACAAGCTTTCAGTCTCACACGGCGCTCTCCTTCAAAGAGGAAGGAAGCTCTGTGTAAGGCTAAAAGCTTGTCTCTTTCACCAACCACAGTTGGTCCAATGAGAGAGATTCCTTTCAGCCCCTTGTCTCTCCAATGTCCTGGGACTGTCACGGCGGCAGCAATGTAGCCGTTTCTCTGAAACATTGACATTGAGTCAGCGTGAGACAGTGAAGACATGTGACGGACAGGCACCCTGAGAAATGCCAGCAAGTTGAGTATAAGGCCTCCGTAATCTTTGCTAACAATACATTTTAAAACTAGGCTTTCTACTCATTGCCAGAACCAGCCGTCTAGGGCAGCAAGGATTGCACGGCCACATTCTGTTTCATGTTACTCCAGGAAATCCCTGTTGACTCATGTTTGAGAGAGCCAATTTTGGTCCACAGGCCAGGAACTGAGTGTAACGTGGGCACGTTGCATTTGAAAGCCCTTGCTCCTTATTGGCCATTCTGTGGACTTCTAGAAAATCGGTTGTGAAGGGGTCGATTGCAGTGCACCAGGATACATGTTCATCCAGCAGAGGTCCAACTCTACCTGTTTCTTAGTATTTGGAAACCTTTTTTGTTTTGTTTAACCTTGGTGTGTCCAGGGGCTGACTTACTGAAGATGTCCAAAGAAGATTTTGTTCAGATCTGTGGGCCAGCTGATGGAATTCGGCTCTTCAATGCAATTAAAGGAAGGTTTGTACCTGTCTCTTCCAGATTCTACTATTGCAGCAACCTTTGGCACTTCCAATGTTAATCCAGTATCTCTGGTTAGCAAACCTCTGTAAAGTCCTTGAAGAGACTGGTTGGCTCAGGGGGTTGGCAGTGGGCTGTTGGCTCTAAAGTATGGGGTTGAATGCTGCCTACCTCAGAGATGAGTGAAAAATCTTTAGTGGTCTCAGTGTGCTTCCCAGTAGATGTGTTTCCCTCCCATCTGGTACCTGTGTTGCTGATCTCAGCCAAAACCACAGACTGAATGGGCGAGAGGAGGCATTTGTGGGCTCAGTCTAACCCTGATCAGGAGGCAGTGGTTATGCTCATTGACCAGCCGGGCTGGGTTCAAGCCAGAAAGTGAGGGCTTACACCTTCTATGTACTAAGGGCCTCTTGTGAGGTACAGAGCAACCTTCAATATTACTAGCTTCATAGGAGTCAAGGATGCTCAGCACCTCTTCCGGCATCTCCCAGGATTAGGAAGGTCCTGTTACAAACTCTCCCAGCGCATCTCGCCTCCTGCAGCGCTAGTGCCAAGTTGCCTCTTAGCTTCCTATTTGTGTCCGGCTCACATGTGCTGTTCCAGCGTGTGGTGGTGAGTATTGGGCTGCCGTGCTAATGTACTGCTTTTGTGTTTAAACCCATAGAAATGTAAGACCTAAGATGACAATTTATGTCTGTCAAGAGCCAGAGCAGAACAGAGCGCATCTGCACCACAAACGCGAGAATGGAGATGGCAACCTCTGTGGTACGTTTCCCAGCCTGCTCCCAGCTCGTCTGGCGAGAACGATGCCTTGGCTCTGAACTCCGCGTCTGACAGTGCCGTGGCTGAACGGTGGTTCACCTGCACTGTAATTCCACTGGACAGAGGGTAGTTCCTCTAGGGCCGCCGTGCAGACCACATCCTGCCTGCCACAGAGGTGCAACCTGTGCTGACTTGGGGGCTATTCAGGAAAGGCAGGTGGTGTTTGCCCAGCCGCCCTCCCTTGAGGGAGGCAGCAACACAGGGCAGCTTTAATTTCTGTCCGTGGCTCGAGTGGAATGCCACTCAGACCAGTTGAATCAGTACATCCTCTCCCAGCCATCCTGACTGTGCCCTCTCTCCAGGCCTGGTCTTTGGGCAAGGTGAATAAGGTAGTTGCATTGGGCCCTGCATCTTTAGGCCCCCAGTGGCTGCATGGGCCTTGGTGCCGGGCTGAGCCCTGCTGTCAGCATGCTGCCTTGGGCCTTGGAAACTCTTTGGCTGGGCCTACCTGTCTTCAGCCAGCCCTGCCCACTTCCGGGGGCCTGCTGACCCCCTACAATCCCCTTTGATGGAAGGGAGATTATGGCCACTTGAAACTTCTACCACTGCCCCTTCTTTCTGCTGCCAGGGCTGACCTAAACCAAGGGCGAATTTAGCTCTCCATGGAGTGGAATGAAGTGGGCTTCCTCTTTGTAGATTTCATGTTAGCTTTCATACAAAAAGATTTCTGCTGCTGCTTTTTGCCAGTTTCTCCTTTACGTGCCTGAGGTTTGAAATGCCTGGACTCTCTAGAACCACATGTAGAAATGCTAGCAAGAGCAACTAGCTTCGGCATCCTTGCAAGGAAAATCTGTTTAAATTCTAGGCACTTCCCTAAAGAGGGTTCTGTAGAATTTCAAGCTATGACCTAATGCCTGTCCACACTAGATGGACACCAAAGACCCCAGAATTGTATATACACAATTACTTGTGCACAATCACTTGCCCGCATGCATGAACGTTTCCATTTCCAAACCGAGCACAGGTGAGGTTCCAAGTGACAGTGTCCAAAGAAGTGCCAGGTTGGGATTTGTTTGAAAACTTGTCACTTGTGGTCTAGTTCCCTGTGCGATATTTGTGTGTGGCTTCCATGGAAATCAGAATTGGTATCGGACCTACTGCATGTATGAAAGAGGAAGGAACTGGTAACATCACAGAGGAGATGTTGACATTTTAATGGTAACCACCTACTCTGTTAATACTGTTTGAAGAATAGAGGCGAGAGAATGGAACACACAGAGGCTACGTCTACACTGGCACCCTTTTCCGGAAATGCTTAAAATGGAAGAGTTTTCCGTTATAAGTATTTCCGGAAAAAGCGCGTCTACATTGGCAGGATGCTTTTCCGGAAAAGCACTTTTTCCGGAAAAGCATCCGTGGCCAATACCTACTCTGTTAATACTGTTTGAAGAATAGAGGCGAGAGAATGGAACACACAGAGGCTACGTCTACACTGGCACCCTTTTCCGGAAATGCTTAAAATGGAAGAGTTTTCCGTTATAAGTATTTCCGGAAAAAGCGCGTCTACATTGGCAGGATGCTTTTCCGGAAAAGCACTTTTTCCGGAAAAGCATCCGTGGCCAATGTAGACTGTCTACACTGGCCCTTTTCCGGAACAGTGTTCCGGAATAAGGACTTTTGCCTGAACGGGAGCAGCATAGTTTTTCCGGAAAAACACTGACAATTTTACAGTAGATCGTCATTGCTTTTCCGGAAAAGCAAGCGGCCAGTGTAGACAGCTGGCAAGTTATTCCGGAAAAGCGGCTGCTTTTCCGGAATAAGTGGCCCAGTGTAGACACAGCCTGTGGGTAGAGTGGGGACCCAGGACATCAGGAGACCCAGGTTGTGTTCCTGGTTCTGTTTGGAGGCCTATGCATGCAAAGAACTATACCAGTGTTAGGCTTTTTCCTTATTCTTCGAGAATCTCCTGCATCTTCCCCGGCTCAGACTAATTCTCTTTCAGAGTG